CACGTGTGTGTGTGTGTGTGTGTGTGTGTGTGTGTGTGTGTGAGAGAGAGAGAGAGAGAGAGAGAGAGAGAGAGAGAGAGAGAGAGAGAGAGAGAGAGAGAGACAACGGGTAACACGCACACACACATACACGCGTGTAGCAGTGCATATTTCAATGATTTAGGGGAAGATTCAATCGGTACGGCTAAGTCTTCAACGCCGCGGCTGGCTTCGTGGTACTTCCATCCTCAGGATGAACAAAATCGAATGAATGTACCGCTAGAACATGGAAATGTACAGTTCCTTTTGTTTGTTTGTGCGTGCCCGTGTTTGTGTGTTTGTACGTGCCTGTGTTTGTGTGTTTGTGTGTGTGTGTATGTGTTTGTGTGTGTATGTGCATGTGTGTGTATGTGCGTGTGTGTGTATGTGCGTATGTGTGTGCGTGTGTGTGTGTGTGTGTGTGTGTGTGTGTGAGAGAGAGAGAGAGAGAGAGAGAGAGAGAGAGAGAGAGAGAGAGAGCGGTTGGTCTCATGGTACTTCCATGGATACAATGAACAAAATCTGCTGAATCTAACGCAATTGCATCATGGTACTTCGATCCGTAGGATGGGCAAAATCGCACACACAATCTACGGGTAATCATGCAAGTCGATGCTCACGTAATCCCCTCTGTGTTTCTCTCTTTGCCTCCCTCGCTCACGTGTGTGCTCCCACCGGGTCTCCGTCTCCGAAAACGCCCTTCGCGCCTATGCATTGGCGTCCAACCGTTGGAGTCTGCGTCCGCCTGTCGGGGTCCCGGGTTCCCCAACCTGCGACTCGGGTCTCGTGTGGGACTTCATGTGAGACCTGCTCTTTTGTTTAGTAGAGCTTCTCAATCAGGCCTGCCGAGACCAGCTGCAGAGGAAACCCTCGGGTCGTTTTGTATCCAAGTGATGATTGTGTTCTATTAGTAACTTAACAGAACATCGGTCTGCTGTTTGTACTCGCTCTTAGGGTTCTTGTCGGAGTAGAGCTACTTTTTGGTCTGCGTCAGGTGTTGCAGAATTTTGTTGCACTCGTTTTTTGAATGTGGACGAGGTTTTTGGAGGACGGCGTTGCAATACTGAATTCTTTCTTGAGATGAACGTATGCGGGGTCCTCGATGATTCTTGATCCCATGCCTCCGTGTCCACGGAGGGCAGAACACTCAACCGACAATTTAAGGGTAAGATTCAATCTCGAAGGTGCCCAGTGTTGTTAACACATGAAACAAGCCGTGAATTTGCCTTCCAAGTGTACTATAAATAAAGCAAGAAAGATCGACACGCCACCCCGAAATGGGTGGGTAATTGGTACATATTGCGTATGGGTCTATGATGACATGCAGTTCAAAATAAAAGATATGCACAATGACTTTTTATAAGTTCTGTTCCTAGTTTACCAAGGAAGGACGGACAAGGACGCAATTGGAAAGAGTACAAGAAACAAAACCCGCGATGCAATTTGTCCAATACTACCAATAGTTAAATAGGGTGCTTCCACAGGGAATACAAAAAAAAAAAAAAACACGCGATGCAATTTGTCCAATAGTTACGTAGGGCGCTTTGACAGCACGACATCTGATCCAAGCCTAAAAGTGAACAATCTGCCACGTACGCTTTATGATTCGTTCTCTCTACTTTGTGAGATTTCGTACATCGAGGTTGGTTCCATCTCCCGCCTAAATTACGTTCCGTTCCGTTCGTTTTTCTTTTCTTTTGAATTTAGTCTGAACCACCAATTTTTTTTGTTCGTGCTGCGGAATCGTAGACAATTTGAAAAACGACCACATTCAATGAACTTGTGCACAACAGGTTTCCATACAACGTTTTAAGCGCAGCTCCCGATCATTTTGCGTGCTGTGGTATGTAACCTCGAAGAGTACTTCTTCAGCTCAAGAAGACTGCAAGTGCACAGCGCCTCTTGCTGGTGGACGTACAAGATCCTACTGTGGTGGAATGGGCAAATGGACTTGTCCCCATGCAAAGAGGACCAGAAGAGGGGCAGCGGTGGACGAATGGTTTGAGCCGGAGAAAGATCTTCAAGCGACAAGTGGGAAACATACAGTCAGTGTTGTATGTGTGCGTAGCACCATAGGACGAATGGTTTGCGCCGGAGAAAGATCTTCAAGCGACAAGTGGGAAACAACAGTCAGTGTTGTAGGTGTGCGTAGAGCATCATAAGCAAGAAAGATATTTATTTAGCTCACGAACTGGACTTTTTGCTTCTTGGGCTGCGCGTGTTGTCATTGCTGTTTGTCGGCAGGTGGACGGGATGATCTTATACCAATGGAACGGGCAGACAGACTTATTCCCATACAGAAAGGATCAGCGGAGGGCCAGTGAAGAAAGAACTGATGATTTGAGCCTGGAAATGGATTCTGGGATAAAAAGGCTTACAAGTAGCAAGCGGGAAAAAAACACTCAGTGTCATTATGTCATATATGTACTCCGCAATCTAACTTTGAAGAGTCCTTCAGCTCACGAAGAGGACTACTTCATGGACCATTGGTGTCGTGGATGGGATCCTGCTGTAGCGGATTGGGCGGATGGGATCCTGCTGTAGCAGAGTGGGCAAATTACGCATGCTGCAAATTATACATATATGCAGCAGCCCATCCCCTCCTCATCGGCACGTGGGGAGAAAGAACGGAGGAGCGTGGTTCACTCCCACGCTGATCAACATTCGAAGTAGGCGAAATGTATGTGAGCAAGTCGTGGCACAGCCTTTCAACAAAACTCTTTGTAGCTCCGCCCTCAGTCCACCATGCCATCACCATCAGCCTCCAACTTGTCCTCCCTTCAGCCCCTGTTTGTTATCATTGTGTAAAGATACACACCTTGCCCAGCTTCCTGTCTTGTAATCGTTCACTGGGGATCGCACAACCTAGAAGCAACTGTCTACCCTCATCAACCCATGTCAACGTTTCCTCCTCCTCTCTCTCTCTCTCTCTCTCTCTCTCTCTCTCTCTCTGTGTGTCTCTCTCTCTCTTTGTCGCAGGATAATTCCTCTCAACAAAACTTTCTTAACGTTCTGTGCGTCCAGTTAGCGCTCTCCATGCCGGTAGTTGGGAGTTTCCCCAAGTGCTATGCATGTCCAATTGATGGCAGAGTTGTACCACATTATGTAGCTCGCAGCTCCCTGTTCTCGCAGGGGCATGACAGTGATGCAAAGTCCAATCTGAAGCCTTCCACCGCTTACTCTAGGCACACTCTTCCGCCATCTTCAGGGTTGCATCAGAGAGCCTATAACAGCTTTCACTTGTGCAGAACTCCTGATTTTCGCCCGGAGGTCTTCTGCTTCTTTGCATTCTGTGCCGCCATGACATTGACCAACCCCCCCCACCCACAATAAGTGAGTCCTTTCGCCAACTATCGTGACGCCTCAGCAAAGCAAATCAAATCAAAACCCAGGCTACGTCTCGATAGCAAAGCATCCCATTAAGAGTTCGATAACTGCTGTTTCATCCCATCAATCAAAGGGCAGCGGGAAGATGATCTCAATTCTTGCAGAATGACATATCCAGTTTCAAAAACTATCAAGTAGTATCAACTAAGAAAAGCACAGAAAGCAAGAGAAAACCAACCTGAAGCTAACGGCGCAAGCACTTCCACCCTTAGTTCAAGAAGTACTAAAAAAGGTGCTAGTGGCAAAGGTACGCCTTGAGGTAATAAAAAACTAAAAGAAATATGAAGTCCATAAGTTTGAAATCCCACTATAGTAAGCTTTGGTCTTTCATTCCCTCAAAAAATGAAGTCCCAATAAAAAGAGAGAATGAAAGACCAAAGGTGACCACAAAATGACTTGTCACTGTAAAACTAGAGTTCACACCGTTTAAACTTTAAACTGATCACAACTGTTGCACAACCTATATATATATATATATATCGTCAAATAGAACTGCCCGGTAAACCGTAGGCAGAGAGGGAGAAGGAGAAGAGGACAACAAACGAGGGGCTGTGACAAACTGTTTCGTCGGAGTTTCACCGACTCATCAGGAGGCTGAACCCTCAACAGTCTGTAGAATCCCCTCACT